TTATTTTTTACCTTTAAAAATGTATTCATCACAATAATGAACTGTTAACAATAACCTTATTTGGAAGAACCCAAAGTGCCACACTGTAATGTTGAATTGAACTTGATGAATGCAAAGTATAGAATATTGATTTTAAATGTAAATATTAACACAGCCAGTATGCTGCAGTATGTACTATTTCACTGAAACTAAATAAAATAATGTTGCTCTGAAGACTTGGTCAGTTATTATTCTTCCAAACAGCTGTTACTGTAATACTACTGCTAAAAAAGCACAAAACAAACACATTGAATACATCTTTCACACAAATTGGCAGTTTAGATGCAGATACAGGTACTTTGATGTGTTATTGGTGGAAACAAAGCAGACATGGCAAGAACATGTACACTTCACAAACAAACTCAACTCAATGTTCAGAAAGGTTGTTACAAAAAAGGATATCGTCATTAAAATCCTTTAGCTCCTAGATTGCCCAAAACACCTCAGTCCGCCAACTTTTCTTGGATACATGCTAATACATTTTTCCTTAATTCTACTTTGATCAGATATAAGGGAAACATTCGCTGTGAACATACTTTTATAAAACAGGCAAAGGGCATCTGTCTCCCTCTATAGAGTAAAGGGTGTTTTGTCATGGCACCCTCAACGTTAGGCCAGTTTTCAGTGACTTGGACCAGGGAAGCTTAAACAAGCGGTTGTGAACACTCACTGTCAAAATGGCCATACATTTTAGTTTCTGACTGACTACATGAAAACTCTAAGAGGATCCTGTTATTCTGTCCTTCTGCTGACACTATTGATCAGTTATGTGTTTAGAAATGTTTAGTATGTGTTGTTTCTAGTGGCATTACAATTCACACACACTGTAAAAACCTTGGCCAGGCCATGAGATAAGTTATAGAATAAGATATGTGACTGGATCGAACCAAGACCTTCCGATTCGTGGACGACCGCTCTACGTCCTGAGCTTTATATATACAGTCTATGGTCCTGAGTCACAGCCGCTCCAATGTAGTCACATCAGTATTAATTTGACATTCAAATTTATGGTCATTTATTATAAAAATGTTCTGCTTTATCTATGCAAAAGAGTATGCACATCTATTAAAAGGACATAACCCAATAAGGCTCTCAGTTCCTTTGTCAGCGAAAATATGGATCTTCTCTCACTGATGTTGATTTTCTTATTGAGTTGAGCCGACATGACTTTGGTACGGACTGAGACAACTGATTTTCTCATTGTATGGATTACAGTAGTGGCAGCAGATGGCAAGGCGGGGCAATCCCTGGTAGCCCCAGTGCTGACACCTCAATCCTTCCGCTCCATCTGACTTGGGGGTGACAACAGGAATTGCTGAAGTGAACCTACAAAGCTTAACCGTGTGTACTTGGACTCAGGCAGTCATCCTGAGTGCAGTGTCACAGAAGCTTATGCTGTTACAGCAGGCATAAGATTATCCTGCTGGGACATTGAACTGCCTTCATTCACTAGAAATGAACTTTTCCTTTGTGTTAGTTTTTTAAGTCTTGAGATAGTTGTCGAGTTTTGTTGGAGTTTTGATCGACTGTCAAAATAAATGATAGTTCTATCAAAGTCCTAGATTGATTTAGGGTTCAAAACTCATAATCAGATTAAGACATATTTTATGCCTTTGCAACTCGGGCACCTGTTCCATGTCCACGAAGAGGACAGCAACAACTCTATAAGTTAATCTCACTCTTTGACAACACTACAAACAAGGAGCTTATATAAAAAAGCTGCTTAGAGTGACAGAGGTTTGTGAACTAGCATTCAAGGTCATCCTCTGAAGGATAACAAATATGCACATATGTGCCTTTACATGTTTAATGCGCTGCAACGGACCACAGTGAAAAAGCTAACTCGTATATGGAATATAATATATCTAAAGATAAATCGCTCTTGAATAAATTAAGGGCTAATCATGACAAGCATCTGAGCGAGGGATTACCAGTGACGTGTGTTCAATCACCTACAGGGCTCTGTCATCATAAATGTTCCCACTAAATACATAATCGTCCAGCTGGCTCATAGCAGTGTGTTACTAAAGATTGTCTGCATCTTTGCAACAATCACAGGGCTGAGGAGTGAAGAGACGTGACAGTTATCCCTGCCAGGCAAAACCTCAAAGCAGCACTGAGCTGACGGCGACAGCATCTTACCTGTGCCGACCACTAGAGAATCATAAACAAGAAAATAAAGGACTATTATATGTTTGACTATGATAGAAATCTTAAGAATCATTGCTGTAGAGGACTATTAACAGTGATCAAAACGTTCAGATTTAGATACTTTAGTCGTTTCTGTCTGTCTAGTCTAGTGTGCATAAACTTCCCTAACATTGTCCAATCACAAGAGGTGTTCTGATGCCATGTTTGAAGTCTTTTTTACAACTGTTCTAACAAATGTCCCCTCCAGTCTGGATACAAGGTGATATAGAATATTCAATATGGCCCTTTTGTTTTAGTTCTCGTCATCTCGCCTCTCCTCTCACTCCCCTGTTTCATGCAGGCAAACAGCCTTGTAGCTTTAGCAGTCTTTCCCCACAGCTGTGTATTGGTCTGACTCTTGATAGTTGATTCGGCTTGCCAAAAACGTTCATAAAACAATCTCTTCTTCAGATAATAACAGGACCAAGCTGACACATAGTGTCAGAGAGCAGTAAGGACAACCTGGAGTCCATCTTATCAGGTGGATAGCTCCAATTATTCCCTGCTAGGAACAGAGCTTGCTTTGATTTGTCATCGAATGTTGATTATTCTCTTAGGAATAGTTCAATATTGAGGAGAGAGCAAGAGAAACTCAGAGTAGGCTGGGCAGAGGCTTTATCACTACGGTGTCATATGTCTATACAATAAATCTTCTGTGTCTGACATCAGTTCGAAGCTCTCCTTTGTGCTCCATGTGTTCCTGCTCTTTGCTCCAAGAATTCCATCACACAATATACTACAGGACAAGCTACCAGAGCTGTTGGCATCAGGTTGTGAATATTTGTGTAAACTGTGGTATGTTAATTTGCCTTGGGTGGGCATGCTAGTCAAATAGTTGTTTGTTGTGCAAAAGGCAAAGCAAGGTAAGTTTGTATGGCACCTTTCAACTCAGTGTTTTACATTATAATATATGGTAGGCTATTTGAAGTGCTTTACATAAAGCTCAGCCGTGCACAACTTAAAACAAAGTGTACGAACATAACGAGTAGAATAATAAAAAACTGAATAAAACATTACACCTGCTAAATCTTTAACTGTGAAAGCACAAGAGGTACAAAAGACAGTTTATTGCGTACTATAATAAAACCATTGCAACTTTTGGAGCCTTTGAGACAATCTAACCTGTTTTGTTTCGGTTTCAGGATTACAAAACTGATTCAGACAACAGATTCAAAAGGGTCTGTGAGCATAGCCCCCGTAGACTGCACCTAGTTTGTAATCCTTTATACACCAGTTAAGTCAAACAGAAAGAGCTCTGTTTTCAATACCACTTTGTTTTCCTAAAATCAAGAGTGACTTAGCAAGGATAACAGAAATCAGTCTGTGGACACAGCAGGCAGTCACATTCTTATATTTAGTGTCTTTGCCCAGTTTGATCTGATTAATGAGCTGAGCTACATGCCATGAGCTGCATGCAACAGTGACACAGTCATCACTGTAGCTTGATAGACCAGTACAGGAACAAACAAGCAACGTTTTTGATGTTTTTTGACATATATTTGATACCTCCCACTGTGTATAAGTGAGGAAATCAGTACCTGCAAGAGCTATAAACTTGCACAAACATTTGGGTTACCAATTAGGCAGCAAGAGGCTCCAGAGAGCACTCACCATATGGCAGAGGAATGGAATTAAGGGTCAACTTGTTGCTGCTCTTTGAATCTCTGTACTAATTGTTTTTCTCATCACCCCCATTCGCGCTCCCCCTCTAAGAAGACCACATTTCATGGAAGGTTAAGCTACTTTGCTGCTTTCGGGTGGCTGTATTCTCCTGAAGCCATTAGTGTCCCTGACAGGGCCAATATGGCACAGTCTGGTGTTAGTCTACCCGGTAACAGTAAACTGAGACACATAATGTTTACTAGAACTAGGACAAATTACCCATATTGTAATGTTTTGTTTCCTTTGATTAGTAGTTAGTAGACTATTTCACTTGTTGACTAGAAGTAAACTTCTAAAACCTCAAGTCAGCCTCGTGGGCAGAAGTTCATGACGATTGTAGCCAGCTTAAGCATATTGACAATTGCTAAAACATGTGAAGCGTCTTCGCCTGTAAACCTTCTTTAGCTTTTCTTATAACATAAATGTATGTCGGTATATGTATAGGTCTCAGAATCAGCTATTTGTGAAAGGTTCAATAGGAAAAAGGAATAATTGAAACAACAATTTTAATCGATGTTAATCTACAGAGAAACTGATGATCTTTACTATGCAGCAGCCACATTTATGAAGCCATTTGGTAACAAAGTTGGTGAGGAGTTCAAATATATTTTGTTTATTTTGTTTTCAGTGGTCACCTTTGTGTAATCCAGTTATGCATGTAGGAGGTGTGACTGATTGATTTACCCATAAAGACAGTAAAGATTAAGAGGATGACAAATCAGCATTTGCTTACACAGCGCCTAGTGCTAATCTCCTTGTCTTCCTTCAGAAAGCCCCCAGACGTCTCACACTCGTTCTGGCAGAGAGAAAGAAAGAAGAAGAAGAAGTAACTCTATTGACCCCCCATTACATGAGAAACGACCAGAGAAGGACAACATCCCTGGATCAATATCATCGATCATTTCTGGAGTAACTCTCTGATGACCACTGAAGAAATTAAGCTTTAACTAGAGCATTTAATAGAAACAATTACAAATGTGCTTTATAGACATTACCATGCGTCAAGACTTCACATGACAAAAATGCTTTGATCCAGCTGGGCATTTCACAAAAATACTTTATCCAGAAGAGGAAATACTTCTAGGAAGTTCAGATATCAGAAACTGAAAATGGAGGACCACCTGAGAAAAATGAACCAGTTTTCTTCGGACACATCTAATGACTTCACAGATGGACTGCAAGGTGAGCCACGATGCAACAACATTTAAAAAAAAAAATATTGCAAATATTTTATACAGCAAATTATGTCGTACGAATAATTATCTTTACAATAGTTGTTTGTATTGTTTATACCATATACCATAATGAGACTAAAAAAAAATATCTGTTCATTTTAGTCATCGATTGATCCTAGTTTCTCCTATCTGTCCTCTACAGAAATGAATCCAGTCCCAGGTAAAGCACATGGCCACAGTCTGCTGTGTAACGTGTGCTCTGACTCCAGCAGTGGAAAACATTATGGCATCTACACGTGCAATGGCTGCAGCGGCTTCTTCAAGCGCAGTGTAAGACGAAGAATCATCTACAGGTTAGCACTTTTATCTAATAAGGTATAGACATAATTGTAACATGTATGATAGGGAAATACAACTGGTGTAATAAGTCATTATTTGTATTTTAACACACTACTTGTTGTCGATATCACAGGTGTCAGGCTGGAACAGGCAGGTGCCCTGTAGACAAGGCTCATCGAAACCAATGTCAAGCTTGTCGATTGAAGAAATGTCTCCAAGCTGGCATGAACAAAGATGGTGAGTTTACTAGTGTATTACATGTGCATACAATATTTCTGTGGCTTAGACTGTTTTCATAAGATATATTTAATTGTCTTTTCTCCAGCTGTGCAGAATGAGCGACAGCCTCGGAGCACAGCCCATGTGAGTCTAGACTCTCTAAGTGACCCTAAAAGAGAGCATCTGGCCACCACACAGGAGCTCACTTCCTCTGCTAGCTACGCATCAGTCATCTGCAGACCCCTGGTCACTTCCTCTGTCCCCTCCTCTGCCGCCATGCAGCCCTGCAGCAACCCCAACAACTACCAGCGCTTTATGGCCAGCCTGCTGACTGCAGAGACCTGTGCAAAACTGGAGCCCCAGAATGGTGAGATCTTATGAAAGAAGTTAACTTAAGGTGGACACAAGGACTTTACTAATGTTTTGAAATACATGTTTTTATTTGGTTTGGCTTCTTATGTCTATGATAAGGGGAGGTTTGCCTTTAAAGATGAGAACAAGAGTAACCTAATCATAATAATACATTTCAAACTTTACAATAATGTACTCCCAGTAGCCTTATTGTTTGTGCGACTCTCTTTTTCTAATGCACAGCGGAGGAGAATATTGATGTCACAACCAATGATTCAAAAAGAGATCGGACTCCCTCTGACTGTCGTATGTCCCCGTACGCCTCCAGCAGCAGCTGCTCAGAGAGTATATATGAGACATCAGCACGACTCCTCTTTATGTCTGTCAAGTGGGCAAAGAATTTGGCAGTTTTTGCTCACTTGCCATTTCGAGACCAGGTGAGACTGACTGACACATTTTTGTATATTAACCAAACCATTTAAACATACATAATGTGGACTGATAACATGCATTTCTGTGACATCCTTAGGTGATTCTGCTTGAGGAAGCTTGGAGTGAGATGTTCCTCTTGTGTGCCATCCAGTGGTCCCTGCCCATGGACAGCTGTCCTCTTCTGTCTCTGCCAGATCTTTCTCCCACACATCAGGCCAAGACCAGCCTGCCCAGAGTTGACCTGCGTGTCATTGAAGAGGTCTTTAATCGCTTTAAGGCCCTGGCTGTTGACCCCACTGAGTTTGCTTGCCTGAAAGCCATTGTACTCTTCAAGCCAGGTGATGAGATCTTCCCCTCAGAAATATTAATTTGTTATTGAATGGACATTGTAACCAATTGTATGCTGTTTTACCTGCAGAGACAAACAGCCTCAAAGACCCGGAGCAGGTGGAGAATCTGCAGGACCAGTCACAGGTGTTACTAGGTCAGCACATCCATTCACTATACCCCAGCCAAAGTACCAGGTGAGCCTATCTCTCTCTATGATCTACAAACATAACAACACCTGGAGTATATCCAGTTTGTCATATAAAAGCCCAAACAGAAACGTGATGTTAACTCTCGTTTGTTCTTGTCTATAAAGGTTTGGGAGACTAATACTTCTGCTGCCATCGCTCCACTCTGTGAGCTCGGAGAAAATAGAGCAGCTGTTCTTTCACAGGATCATCGGCAACACACCCATGGAGAAACTGCTGTGTGACATGTTCAAAAACTAAGACCCTAATGAAAACAAGCACACTGGAAGCCAAATCCAGTTCACGCTCAAGAAACATGTTTTCTGTTTGATTGTTTGGTACCACTTTACAATAAGACTACCCTTATAAAGGGTTTACGAATAGTTTGTAATTCATCTATTAATTAGGTTGTGAACACTTTATAAATAATTAATAAGCTTTTACAAGACATGAGATAAACAGGGCAACTGTGACCGGTTGCTTGCCAAATAGTGACCCCACATTTATCTGTACTGCTAAGCCTTATATTGGCTACCTAGCTTACTTATTCTTCTTAATCAGGCAGCATCCTTGGTATCTGTTGTTCATTGAGTTGATTCTCGCTAAGTAGCCAATATAAGGCTTAGTCATCTTGCCAAATAGTGAGCCTGTGTTGATGTTTGAAAACTATGTTAGAACTGGTTTATAAATGGTTCTTAATGATTAATAAAGTGTTTACAACCTAATTCATAACCTAATTATAAACCCTTTATTAATCCTTTATAAGGGTAGTCTTATTGTAAAGTGATACCGATTGTTTTTTATATTCTGGTTATGACTTTCAAATTCAACAACACATCCCTTTTTACCAAATAAATGTTAAAAATACCACAGAAGGAAACTTTTTCCCCACCATAAGTCAACAAGTATGCACCCATCAAAGTTTATTGTATTCTAAATAAGTATACCAGGTTAAATTCAGTGATTATTACTTTGTAAATATTGTAAATAATGTGTATGCGAAACATCACATTGTTATGTGTAGGAACCGAGTTGAAAGGAAGCACGTTTTTTATTAAAGTAAATGAAAATGAACATAATATGTATTTTTGAATAGTTGTCCTAAATGAATCTAAATTGTGTATTTGTTTGTTTATTTTTGAACAAGTTTTCCAAAAGACCTATATTCCAAAAATATGCCATAAAAGAACAGAACTATACATAAATGTCTGGTGTGTATAAAAACAAATTATGATATTCAAGTCTGACCGTGTCTAGCTTTAGCTTATTACAGATACATTGGAAATGTTCTGCTTATGTAACAAGACATTGCAGTGCATACATAGCAACGATTTGTCTGAGGTTATTTAAAAGAAAGCCCTCACAAGGTTTTTTTCTGTTTCATATATTTCACTCACTATATATCTTTGGTCACAATTTATAAAAAAGGTTACCATCCATATTGGCCACACAAATCAAATACTGAACTGGACTGTACAATAAAGAGAATCTGGACAGAGCACCCATTGGACCGAAAATACAATAACCTACATTTGACTGTTAAAGTAATCCAGTATCTAACTGCAAATATATGTTTAATGTGAGATCTTGAAAGACAAAGATGTATAACCTTGTGCTATGTTCTAGTTTTAAGCACCATCTGGGCTACAGTAAGTTACGTTAGGGGGCGGTAATGAGCAGATGCACTGATGAACAGGAGCCGTCAGTAAACACCGAGAAGAAGAGCCGTACCAAAACACGGAAGACCTTTCCGTTAGAAAGGAATGTAAAGCGTCCATTTAAATAACCAACCAGGAGGTTCGGTTGACAGTTGAAGCGGAGTTTGATAATTAATATGAAGTTGATTTAAATAGGAAATACCATTGTTTTACCGCATAATGTTCAGCAAGTCGTACACGCTGCTCCCTCAGGGGGACTGTCCCAAGACTCCGGGCCTGTTCGTGGACCCTGTCAGCTTCACACAGCGAGGACCCCACAAAGGCTTCTCCTTCGACAACATCCCCAATGTCTCTGAAAACGACTTCACTGGTAGGCAGCTTACATTAACTATAGAAAAATATAGAAAATAATAAGTGACCATAAGGGTTGACAGTGGGTTAAAGTCCAACAAACCAACCCCAACTATTATAGTGCAATAATAACAGCATATTGATATATTTCCTTGTTTCAATAAGAGCGATTTACTCTTAATGATCAACAATATGTTGTTAAAGTGTTATTACTGCGTAGTTCAGTGTCTCCCTGTACCTGTAACTGTGTTGTCCCCAAGGGAAATGTGCCTTGCACCGAGGTGATCACAATCCATACGCACTTAACATAAAATACAATACAAAAAAACGATGCCAAAACGCAACAAAAATAAATTAAATATGCATTAAGCTAAGGTTGGATAGCTTGCAGGAAACAGCTTGGTTACAATTAGAAAACATAACATCCTGAAATATAGTCTCTATGAGTGAATCTCCAAGGACACTGGGATATGAGCCCTTCCCATAATGCAATTCAAAACCATTATTAACAAGGCCCTTCCTGCCCAATGAGACACCATCTTCCAAACCTCACACTCAGTCAGTTTGTAATACAGGTTTTCTGTTCAAATGGTTTAGTCTACATTCCTAATTTAAATAATTTAGTTTCAGAAATGTACCCTTTAAGATACTACAAAATGTTTCACATGCTGACTGGTGTACTAAAAAATAAATGTTCTTTCTTTAAGATGCCTCCCAAGGATGGCTGTCCTGGATCTGCAACCTGATTGTCATCTTATTTGTCTACATCTTCACCTTCATAACATTTCCTATAACAGGGTGGTTTGTACTGAAGGTAAGGCGAAATTATCACATTAGGTACTCCCTATAATGTCCACTCTTAATAAACAACCAACTCTTTTTTTGTCTGTAGACGGTGCCTAACTACCAGAGGATAGTAGCATTTCGTCTGGGTCGAGTTGGTCCTCCAAAGGGTCCTGGTATTGTCCTCGTGCTGCCTCTCATTGACCAGTGGCAGAGAGTAGACCTGCGCACCCGTGCTTTCAACATCCCTCCCAGCCAGGTAAACCACTATACTGAGTTCATAACTAGTACATTTACATGCTGTAGCACTGAAAGCAATGCAGAAAACTACATCAAGTCTTTACTAGCTAAACTATTACAAATTAAAGTATGAGTAACATTTATCAGCATTGCCTTAAAACAGAAATCAGTCATAAAAGCTTCCCATTACCCATTGAATATATTTTGAACCGTAGTAAGAGTGTGGAGTTTGTGCCCAATCACTCTGTTTAGAGTGCATTAACAGTTAATCTGTTATTCGCCAGTTGAAACAGCCGTAATGATTACAGGAAGCAAAATGTCTCTTGATTTAGTTTGCCCTGCAGGTGGCACTCTTGGTGCACTGTTGATCCGTTTGAAACTGGAGAATGTAAATGGATACTCAGAGATCTATAAATGATTAGTTTGCCAGCACATCAGCTGACACTTAACGATGTAACCTCATGCTGCCTGCAATTCATTTCAAAATGATTATTCCAAATGTTTTGTTTTTTCCAGCTTAAACGTAAGAATTAAATGCAAATAGATGTCTTATGCTAACATTTAGTTTTTTAAAGTTCAATCAATTAACACAATTACTTTACAAGTAGTTTTTATAATTTATGTGTGTACATTTTTTAATCTTCACTGCATTTTACTAAAGCTTTTACATTTCAATAAAGCTAAAGTGTCAAGCTCATGCCACACGTTTCTCATCAGTGCCAAGACTCTCCTTGAGAGCAGGCAGCATTTGTCAACATACAGTTTATTCAGCATTACACTTTAAATACGTCTTAGTCTGCATCAGCTTTAAGAATTAAGACTCCAAATTCTTTAACTAATGTTAAATGACCGCAGCATTCATCTTAAATGTAATTCTGCTACTGTAGGTGATCACTCTGGATGGCGGTGAGTTGTTAGTGGGAGCAGACATCCAGTTCAGGATCTGGAACCCCGTCATGTCCGTACTCTCAGTCCAGGACCTGAACGCCTCAACCAGGATGACGGCACAGAAGGCTATGACCTACCTCCTGGCCAAGAAGACTGTCAGGGAGATCCAAACTCAGAGAGTTAAACTGGGAGAATATCTTGTGGTGAGAATACACTGGACCTACTCTATCTGCTGACTCTTCACTGTATCAGGTCAAACTAACATCCTTAAATGTTTTGTACAGACGGACATAAATGAGATGACTCAACCCTGGGGGCTGGAGGTGGACAGGGTTGAGCTTGCTTTGGGCTCTGTACTCAAAGCACCGGAGCAAAGCCCCTCTGCACCCCTCACCATGCCCCCTGCTGTGCCTGGACTGGAAGGTCTCACTGACCCTATTCAGCAGTTGGCCATGCACTTTTTGGGTGGCATTCAACAGCCTCAACAAGGTATGGATCTACATGTAAATAACCGTTTTTATATAACATATACTGAATCTGATGTTGAGTAATACATCTGTTGCTTTTCCTATTCAGAGGACTGCATAACTTTTACAGATGAGCTCAGCAGTGCAGCTCAGACTGTCATGGCCGCACCACGTTCTGTTGAAGAGCTGCTGGACGCCGTCAAGCTCCTGCTCTCTGAGGCTTTGGTCCACCAGGTTGGGGCCTGCTTCCAGTTTGATGTGAGCTCGGAGGATGGACATCATCACAATTACTTTGTGGATTTGAGCCAAGGTAGTGGTTTCTATATTGCACTTAATAGAGAAATCCCATTGAGATTAGTGTTCCATTTGTCTAATAATGCTGATGTGAGAAGCAAACAAAAATACTGTTACATTAATATTAAATATCTCCCTCGCTCTGTGTGTGTTCTGTAGGCAGCGGTGCAGCTGGAGCAGGGTCTCTGTGCAGAGAGCCAGATGTTACACTGAGCATGAGTGACAGCGACCTTCTGGCCATGTTCCAGGGAGTGCTGCGACCGTTTTCTGCTTACACCAGTGGCAGACTGAAAATCCAAGGAGATATTGATACTGCCATGAAGCTGGAAGAACTCATAAAGTTACTTAAGAAATAGGGATAAGATTGGCATTTGTAAACGTATTTATTAAGTCTTTAATTTAACCTGTACAGTGCCTGCTTTTTATGTATACATTGATTACATAATAAACTGATTTACTTTTATGGACTTGTCTTTCTTCACAATGATGTTTAAAACAAAAACTCTGAAGGTGTTAAGGTCTAGTGTAAGTTTGTGTTTATACAAAGAAGATTGCATGGGCCATGATACAAGGTAAAATATTCAGTAAGTAGTAGAGCTCAACATACCCACACATACTGCATTGTGGGGTATTCTGTTACTGTACCTATCTACTGTAGAGATTAACTGGGGAGCCCTGATCTGCCCAGCAAGGAGGAACAACTATTTAGACCAGCCTCCTTGTTTTGCAACAGATGTCCCTGGGAGATCCAGAGTAGCTGCTGAAGGTAAAGCAGAGTGAGAATTGATGTTGACATGATGGTTGGGTGGAGTGTGTGGCGCAGTCCGGTAATGGTGCTGACAGCCGGTGTGCGCTGCAGCAGCAGTGTGCCGGCAGTCAGACAGGCGTACTCAGACAGCAACATGGTCAGGCCTTTCAGTGAGATTCCTGGACTGTGGAAGAATGGAGTGGCCAACTTGTACAACTTTTTGAAACTGGATGGCTTTAAAAACCTTCACCGTATCATGTTGCAGAACTTCAACACTTATGGACCCATTTACAGGTATGGAAGATTGCAAAAATAGTAGATAATAGCTATACATGACACTACGGTATCGAATAATTAGAAAACAACAACATAAGCAGGCACAAATAATGATGACACGTTTTAAATGCATTTTCTGGTCTAAATATAAACATTTATGTTCTTGAAAAACAGTAGTCCATGTTTTCTGAAAACGAGGCTGTCATGTCATGTTTGTGCCTCTTTTCCTTTTACTTTCTGTATGTCAGGGAAAAAGTAGGTTATTACGAAAGCGTTAATATCATCAATCCTGAAGATGCGGCTATCCTGTTCAAAGCGGAGGGCAATTACCCTAAAAGACTGAACGTTGAAGCCTGGACATCATACAGAGACTACAGGAATCGCAAATATGGGGTTTTACTAAAGTAAGTGCTCTCTTTACCCACCTGTATGAATTCTGTTTCACCAATATATTGACACTTTCATGGAACCAAGTGTTTAACCAATTGCCATAACATTGCGCCTATTAGTTTCTTGTCTAAGTTAGTATCCAATCTTTCCACAGGAATGGAGAAGACTGGAGATCAAACCGTGTGATTCTGAACAAGGAGGTGATTTCCCCAAAAGTGCTGGGAAACTTTGTTCCTTTACTGGAGGAAGTGGGCCAGGATTTTGTGGCCAGAATTCACAAAAAGATCATGCGAACCGGCCAAAACAAATGGACCACTGACCTCTCTCAAGAGCTCTTTAAATACGCACTGGAGTGTAAGACTACTTTTTCTCTCTTTTGATATAAAACTATAATGTATTTTACTCTCCGTGTTGGCCAGTCCCATTTTATTCTCACATATTCTTTGTTTTCTCTGTTTTACACAGCTGTGAGTTCAGTGCTGTATGGGGAGCGTCTGGGTTTGATGCTGGACTACATCGACCCTGAAGCTCAACATTTCATCAACTGCATCACCGTCATGTTCAAGACTACCTCACCCATGCTGTACATACCTCCTGCTCTGCTGAGGATGGTTGGAGCGAAGGTATGGCGGGACCATGTGGAGGCTTGGGATGGGATCTTCAACCAAGGTAAGACATTTTAAATATTGTTTGACTGTCACAAATAGACTCTAAGTTCTGTTTTTTAAAAGAAACTTCTTCTAGTTTTTGATTGCACTGTGCACATTGCAGTTTATAATTTAATTTGTATTATTTGTCATATATCAGCGGACCGCTGCATCCACAACATCAACAGGCAGTTACGTCTGGAAGCTGGCACTCCGAAGAAATACCCAGGAGTCCTGGCCAGCCTGCTCATGCTGGACAAGCTCTCCATTGAAGACATCAAGGCCAGCATCACTGAGCTAATGGCTGGAGGAGTAGATACGGTAAGTAAAACATTAGAAATATCCTTTACTTCCCAGAATGTGACTTATTTTTAGCTTACTGCTTGATTCTGTTTGTGTGTTTCAGACTTCTATAACACTGCTGTGGACGTTGTATGAACTAGCGAGGCACCCCAACCTCCAGGAGGAGCTGAGGGCGGAGGTGGCTGCAGCGCGGGCTGAAAGCCAGGGAGACATGCTGGAGATGCTGAAGCGCATTCCATTGGTCAAAGGAGCTTTGAAGGAATCACTGAGGTGAAACAAAGATTGCATTGCCACACATACAACATTGTTAATGATAGGCTAGGGATGGTACTGTAGATGTCAATTTTTTAGGGGCAAAGTTTGCCTCTTTCAGTTATGTAGTAATACTTTCCTTACTAACTAGATGGCAATTGTGTCGTCCACAAAGTTCCTAATATAGACTTTTTACCTTGATCCCTTAGGTTACACCCGGTTGCAGTGAGCTTGCAAAGATATATAACAGAAGATATCATCATTCAAAACTACCACATCCCAGCTGGGGTAAGAGGCAGTTACAATTATATATGATCTAATAATGTTTTTGTGTTTGCTTACGTTATGGCAACTGCTTATCTTTCTGTGTTTTCTTTTGGTTGTGTTTAGACTCTGGTCCAGCTAGGACTGTATGCAATGGGAAGAGACCCCAAAGTGTTTCCCCGTCCGGAGCAGTATCAGCCCTCCCGCTGGCTGAGGACAGAGACGCACTACTTCAGGAGCCTGGGCTTCGGCTTTGGCCCCCGTCAGTGTTTAGGACGCAGAATAGCTGAGACCGAGATGCAAATCTTCCTCATCCATGTGAGATAAACAGAGAATAAGATGTATTTCTATATGTTGTGTCTCATTTACACAGCACTGTAACTGTGTGTATTATCTCCTGTCTTTGCAGATGCTTGAGAACTTCAGAGTGGAGAAAGAACGCCATGTGGAAGTGCAGAGTACCTTTGAGCTCATCCTCTTACCAGAGAAACCGATAATGTTGACTTTGAAGCCCTTACATATTAGTCAGTAACAACAACTTAGAGAGAAATGTTTTGTGCATGATAAGCCAGACCTTTATCACACAATTGTAAAAGGCTTCCCAAAGCATTTAAATACTAAATAACTACTGATAACCTAACATGTTGATGGAAAGCAAGGAAACATTAGGAAAGAAAAATCTAATAACCTTCAAGAACAATTTACCTCTGTAATTCAATAACTAATGAAACATAACTATATATTATGTACTGTATATTACTCAATGAGTAATTGTACAAGTGATGGTAATGTGTAGTGTTTGTGTGTAAAATATTTCAAACAATTTCCTGATGCTTTATTCTGTGTGCACATGGCAAAGGTATTTAAAAAATATCTCCAAAAGATTAATAAAATATTTGATTCAAAATATGTTTTGTAAAATGTATTTTTTTTCTTTTTTTAGTTTAAATGTATGAATTTATTTGGAATATTGAATCAAAGAAAACTGTGAGTGTTTACTTTTAGTCTGGGTCAACAGGACTTCTTCTGCTTCCTCTGTCTGCTTTGCTCACTCAATGATTCTGGTACAGATCTCTGTAAGAAGCAAAAATTGCCCATGTCACATAAAATAATTCATAAAGCACATGTAAAATTACAGAAAGTAGCACTCAACTGACCGAAGGAAGGTTATTAAGGATTGTGGTGGACGTCCGGACGAAGCCATGCCTGTGCTCGCTCAGTTTGGTCAACATTTCTTGTTTTTCTCTCCCCATAAATTAGAGTTCTCCTCCAACTGTAATACATGCAAACGAAGGCAAATCATTAAACATTAATGCAAAACTTAAAAGTGACTGAATACAAATAAAATACTGTGTACATATTTGATATTTGTTTCACCTGAGCCTCCAGTGTTTGAACTCTTGCCTCTGCCCTCTCCAGCTTACTTAGTAAACTAATTCGCTCCTCGACTGGAAGGGCTTCTTTTCTCTGAAGGTACATGACACATTTAGATTTCAGAAACTTTAATACAATATATCAGTAGGACAATAAAATTTCAAATATATTCTCAAAAGAAATCTGAGCTGCCAATCCCCAAACACTTAATCTGATGACAGTAAAACATCATTTTCACATCACACTATGTGAGTCCTGTCTATAAAGTGTAGGTGTACCTGGGCTGACTGCTGTTTAATAACTGGGGCCGGCTGCTGGTGAATCCTGTCCAGCTCTCCTCTGAGACGACTGTCTTCTGCTGCCACGGCTGACTCTATCTCTTCCTTTCTGTTATCAGTGCCAACTACATAGGATGAAAACATGTCATTGCTTCTGCACATTTAGTTTTGTGTTTTGTTATCTCACCGCATTGAAACCACCTACCTTTTTGCCTATTTACCAAAGGCCTTCTGTCACCAGTCTGTTTACTCTTCTCTATGAGTTTGCTATCTAATGCTTTCTCCATCTTCTCAATGACCTGGAAAATTGGATGGAACACGTTTACAGAATATTATGCTAACATACATTTCAAGCTGTTCGAAATAAGCATTCCCTGTTTTGATACAGATGAAACAGACTGTTCACCTTTTCCTGATGTTTCACTGTTGCCTCCAAGTTTGCCATCTTTGCCAAGCGGCTGTGGCAGCGCTGCAAATCCTCCTGCTGCTGCTGGTGAACTCTCTGAAGCTTTAGTAGCTCCTTCTCACTGTCGTTTTCCTGCTCAACACACAAATAAAGCTAGAGAACTATAATAACACTTTGTACTGTATACACTGACTTTAATGTTATTTAACCTTGATCAGATCGTTCTGCAACTTTTGGATTCGGTCCCTTTGAGAGGCGGCTTTACTGGTCTCATTGGCCAGCTTAAATTTAAGAGAGGCTAAAAAAAAGAGGGGAAGACACATCATACAGAGGAGCGTAATAGGAGCATGATCATTCTACATGCAAGCCATTTATTTGAACAGATTTTCATAGGCATATACATGTTCCTTTATTTTGCTACATAATTAGTTGAAATAAGAAAAGGCACAGCTTATTTTATAGAAGTTGAGACTTAACATTTGCTCTGTATGTAACGAATGAAACATTTCAGTGACTTTTCAAATTGAGAATGATTAGCATGTCAGTTCTGATGCATAGACATTTGAACAGCACGAATACAAAAAAAACATCAATAAAACTTTTGAAATGTAATGGATTTTCTGTCGGGTGGGAGTTAAATCAGTTTCCTTTGCTTTGCTGCCAGCAGAGAGACCTTCATGAACATCCTTTCATTGAGGGTCGCAAACTGTCCTTCAGGAGATAAGGGATGAACTACCCACAAAGCTTATCTGGGTCCATGGCCAAAATGAGCTGCCTTATCGCAAAAAGGCACAGTCTGCTTGGGAATAGACACTCACAAGGATTAGTTAGCACACAGCGAGCCACCTTCCAACATCCCTCCTTCATCTGCCAGTGAAATGCCCTAAATCCATCCAATATGAACTGAAGGTTCAACAACTGCTGATTGGATTATAAACTTTATGACATTAATGAATCAAATTATTTTTCTACTTTTGATCTCAACTATAAGGAAACAAATGACAACTATTGCTTTTGCATTTTTTGGTTTGGTTTTGGTTCAGGCTCAATTTAACGCAGGAAACATATGAATGTATATGGTTGGGTTATTAAAGCTTTACTTCCCTGCTGTGGTTACCTACAGAGGTGGGTAGTAGTGGAGTACAAATACTTTGTTACTGTACTTAAGTACATTTTTCTGGTATCAGTACTTTACTCCACTACTTATCTTTCTGACGACTTTTTACTTTTACTTCTTACATTTTTATCACAAATACCTGTGCTTTATACTTCTTACATTTTCAAAACAGGCTCGTTACTTTAGTTTTAATGTGTGTTTGGTGGCGTGATTATTATAGAGTCATTGCGTGCCTATTGATTTGAACATGATCATTTCCTGGTCTTCTCTAAAGAAGAGGCACCAATGAAAACTTTGTCATTTTGCCGTTGTTCAGCTTCGAAACATTCATTAGCTAACAATGACATTATTGTTCTATTAATATAAAGGGAGTTCAGTTACTCTTTAAAACAGCTGGTAGTTAGGGGTACTTTTTACTTAAGTACATTTCGAAGCCATTACTTCTTTACTTTTACTTGAGTAAATACGTTTAGTCAGTAATTCTACTTTTACCAGAGTATTTTTAAACACGAGTATCTGTACTTCTACTTGAGTAAAGGATGCGTTTACTTTTGCCATCTCAGGTTACCTATATAATTAGCAATCTCAGCCCTGTTCATGATGTGGATGTCGTCCAACAGGTCTTTGCCGCGGTCCTGCTGCAGAGACAGAGCAGAGCGGAGCTGGCTGTTTTCTGCCTCCAACCTCACCATCTGTGTCCTCAGCGCTATGATGTCTTCTGCCATCTTACCCATGGCTGAGCGATAGTTTTCCACTTCCTGATGTTAAGATGTCATAGGTTAGTTTCACGCCATTTAATACAATACACATAACATTTCCAGGAACAAAAAATGGCACAAGAATATTCCATACATTTGATGGTGATGTTTGTATATCACCACCACCACTAGATGTCTCTTCAACCCCATGTCTTTAAAGGTGTCCTCCAGTATGTAGACAACAAAACCTTTTTCTACACCAGGAGAATATGAAAACATCCCAGCAGCAAGTATATGTTATGTGTACAGTTTATCACAAAGTCTAAGCTTCTCAAAGAATAATTGTTTTCTGCTGGTTTGGGATAGTAGACGTGGGGACATAACTGGAAGCCAAAAGAGAGAACATTTTGCCATAGAGTGTGATGTTCTTGTAATCGATTGACTAAGGTTTCGGTACAATGAATGACTTGGGCTCCTCAAATCCAAAGGGACACCCTATCCTGTGAAGCTTGTTTGTCATGGGAGCTTTAAGCAGGGTTTTTGGATAAATCCTAGTCGTGCATTCACGTAGCATCTTGTGTGAAAGCCCATTTACTGAACTGAGGAGGAAAAACTCATGCCAAATTCATGAGGGTATTTCAGGAAAGCAGACACAAAAACAAGACTGAATAAATAAAATCTTGAGCCTTTTTGTTTGATTTGTCTCCATGTTTTGCCCTTCCTTCCCTTTGAAAACTATGCAATTCCTTGGCTTTATGATTCTGCAGAGCCCTGTTATCAAGACATGTCTCTGTGTAAGGTGTGTGCGTGTTGTCTAGCAGCTTCTACACGCTCATTGTTCTCTGCTCTGACACATGCTCATTCACTCACATTGAAAAGACAGATTTGAATGGAAACTGAGAGCAGGGTCCAGCTGCATGTATGAGGAGGGGGCGACGATCATTCCAATCTCAGATGGTGTGGTTGGGACTCCCGTGGGACACAAGAGTGAAATTGAGCATCTAATTGAAAGGGCAAGGACAAGGTGACAATCATGAGTGTAGAGGAGATGGTGTCTCCACTGGGGGCCCACAGGCATGATGGGAAGGACGCCTCCCCATGATGAGTCTGGAGAGTCCAATCATGTGTCAAAACATAAAGGGGAGTCCTCCTCTGCCTGTGAATACCGGAGGTTCCCTCATCTCGCTGTGATTTGGGGACATTAAAGTTGCCTTGCTGTCATACATGCTGTCACTTTGGGACACTTGTATCACAGACAGAAGGCAGCTGGAGTGTATTGTGATAATGAGATATTTAATTAAATACAATTATGAAGAAAACATTTCAGACACAGGAGTAGTCATGATAAACATTAATAACACAACGGGCCAATAGCTTCCCCCCATTTTTCTTGAATCTCCTTGAGTGCAATTAGTCTAGGAAATGTTAATCCTTTTTTATCTGCCATGTTGTCACTGATCTGTGATACTGCTTCACTATACTGTCCCATCCCATCCGCTTTTCCATGTCCCTGTTCACTAACTAAACGTGACAGAGGGGATTGCTTCACTGATTCAAGAGTTTAGGTATTGATTTTGTCTAATCACCTTAGTTTGGAGGTTGGTGATCTCTGCCATGCAGTGATCATCCTCACCCGTATGCAGTGGGGGTCTGAGGCATGAACACGTTTAATACAAATAATGGATTAGGGAAATAACACGTAAAATAATTTGTTTTAATCCTACTAAAATGTCATTCATACAATGATCATGACAGTAAATCCATGCCTCTTGCATGTAGCTGTTTTCCTCACCGTTGATGTGGATGATGTATATGATAGGTGAGGTTTATGTTGGGTTGCTTGGCCTCTGGTCTCTCCGGTTCTCGTTGGGCTGCCCTCTGAAGCCTTGGATTTGCAAGGTAGCAACCTTTTGGTAGGATCTGTGCAAGGGCATCATGGGATGGGAGGTTGTATCCATCCTTCAGAAAATAAGATGTAGAGGAAATATTGGTCACATTTATAACATGAATTTCGACACTGGGCTAGAAGTAGTCTCAGAAATAGCTCATAAGAAACATCAACCTTATGTTCTGTAACATTGTTTTACCAGATTAATACTCGACTTTTCCACATTTTATCAGAACTGCTTATAAACTTAATTTTGAACCAATATCTTCAGAAGTCTTCTGAAAAATTAAATAACTGTTCCGTTTCTCAGAAACCCCAGCTGTACAGTATAACATGGATAAAGTGGATTTTCATATGCTCTTTATTTGTGATATGTGTTGAAGTTTACAAAGAGATGTCCCTCCCAAAATCAGGATTTATGTTATTAGAGAATGTTCTTAAGGAGTTTGACCTTGGTGTGGTCTAATTGAGCCCCAAGCTTAAATAAAACCACCTACATTAAATATAGGTCCAGTCCGTGGCACAGAAAATGGTTAACAAATTCCTTATTTCATTTTCCCACAAATTGGTTCTAAACTAGATGATAACCAATAGTATTACTGTAGTTTAGTCCGTTGGACTCTAGCATAAAGTACATCTGATTTCAGTAACATACAGGGGTTAAATACACAAAATAAACCACAAGCAAGCAGGCGCAACATTCATTTAGTAAATGTTGGCTGTCGGTTTGGCAAGCGAAGTTGTATTTTTACAGAAAATGAACGATTTTATCCCAAAAACATTGTAGCTATGCCCCCTCAGTATTCACGGTGCATGTGTGTGGCCTGTTCTACCTCTTCATCTCTTGAATATAAAGGCTGTTACATCACTATGCATACAGCACCCACTCTATAACAAGAGAGCACTTAGTCAACAGCCCTTAAGTCCTTCAACACGAGCCATGCATATACAGTGTACATTGTCAAATACTGTGGTTGCCAGGTAGCACGCATTCAAAGGAACTACATGAAAAATAGTCATTATCTATTATCTTCCTACAGGTAACACACATACCTCCACATTAAAGGAGCCTACCTTTACTTCTACAGGGTTGCTAAGTGATTTAGTCTTTTTTGAGGCCTTCATCGAACAGAAAATATCAGAGTCCTCATCAGAGGAGCGAACACGTAACTGATGGTGGATGTGAGAGTTGGAGCTCTGTCATTAAATCAGAACAATCAACCTGTAACCACAACACCATGCAGCCTTAGCAACTTTCAGGCCAATGAGTTTAATTCCTGTTATGTACAAAATAATGTAGTATCATGTTTCAAATTCAACCCAAAGCAAAACAATGGTAAATAATGTATTTACAGCTTCAATTCCTAAATACCTTGTTTGCAGTGGTCTTTTTTAAATTACCTTGATACAATTACCGTACCATTTTTACATACTAGTATTTATTATTAATTATCCTGAAGTGGGCCAATCTGCATAATAATAAATACTTTACTTTTGGTACGTTAAGTATATGTTTTTATTACTAGTGTAATTCTAAATGACTTTTACTTGTAATAAAGTATCTCTGCACGGTTGTCTGCTGTAAATCTGAGTACTTCTGCCACGTTTCACTTTAGATTTGAGCGTTTTGTAAAGAAAATCAACCTTTATCTTCATACCTGGAGGCACAGCAAACAAATCAATTAAATCAAAGGGAGGTTCCTGATCAGTAAATGCCAGCCCCCACATGAATCTTGTCTATGGATAAACAGATTGATGGGGACTGACTAATGATTTAGTGAAGTGCTGTGCAGCACCTGTGGCTCCTTCTGAGCATTAATACCAGCTTCACTCAACTCAGTGAGAGTCTGATGTCAAATCTGTAATTCCATGATGAAGAAATACTTGATTTGAATTCAAATATAAAACTATGAAAAAGCTCAGGTGATTTTTGGATACATTTTCAAATAGCAACATGTATCTCCAAATGTTTGTATTTTCATAAAAATGGAAAGAATATACTCAGTTCTCTTTTTTCTGTGCACTTGCTTATAAGCAAATGTATGTGGAACCGTCGATAGCACGGATCGATAACTCTCCTGCTTGGGTAGCTCATTAGGCAGGAATAGACCATCATTGATGGCACAAGATCTGATTAAAACCAAATGATTTAAAAAGGGGGCAGGAAGGAAGAGTAATCTATTATGTAAAAGACTGTGCCTGGCACTGCTCTTACTATCTCAATTTAGTTTATCTGCAATCTGTGAAAACAATGTTATATACTGTATGTTCATTTGTCCACACATGCATGTTCTGCTAAATGTATGAGAGATAAACAGTGGACAGGCAATGGATAGTGTTTGACACAAATTAGCTCAACACAGCTGCCTAAAATGGCAAAAACAACCACCTGAAAAAGTTGGTTCAAATGTGAACACATAAAAACCGTATGGTATCAATATGCAGGTAGCTAAACCCAACATTGGCAGATAATTCAACACCGTTTTATGTAACCATGTACGTGAATTTCTGTTACAGCTACACATGTAAAAAGCCTAGTCTTGCAGTCTGGCAGTTTTTAGATAAATATTTTTATAACTGGCTGCTTTAATTCACGATAAATAATTCACTGGATGCTTGCAGCTATGTGCTCTGTTAGAAGACATAATCTCTTCTAATCCAACTAGGGAAAACCTGTACAAGTGAAAACACTTCCCGCAGAGTCTAATATCACATTATCATGTATGAGACCGCCCGACAAATTTACAAAATGATTCATATGCACATGTTTTGCTTTGCGGTAGCTTGTCATGTTCAGAATGCCTCTGACCCTGTTACATATAATCTGTGGAGAGCTGTGGAGGGGAGTGGGATGTGTGCTGTGTGTCCCCATGCAGGAGAGGGGGGGGGTAGGGGGGTACTAGGCTTTCTGTAACATCATCAGAATTCAGCACACAGCCTACAAAAATGCAGCAAATGGCCTCTTCATTGGAGTGACAGCTCAGAGCTTCAATTAGCCTGCCAGAGCAAGGCAGCTCCCGGGAGCTTTCTCTACATCCATAATTTCCACCTTTTCCTGTCCACTACCTTTTTATTTCTTTCAAACCTTCATCTGACCCAGACTTCACTCTTTCTCCTCTTTTCACACATTTGACCTCAGCATCCTCCCCATCTTTCCTCTCTCTAAAAGCACTATCCCATGGTGCCATTCACAAATGACAAGCCGAGCGGAAATACTTGTAGTGTGCTAAAACACGCAGGTAATAGGTGTTGGATAACTGAATCAGAAAGGAGAAAATAAACTGAGAAAAGAGGATGTAGTGGTTTCCACGCCAGCTGCTCTCCCGTCACCACAGGAATTCAGCACAGCAGTGTGGCAGCTTCTCTTTTATTACTTTGCTGCAGCAGAGACTTTAATCAAGAAATAATGGGATTAGAAAAGAGAAACAAGAGTGAAACAGTTTCACTTGCATTTAATAAAAAATCCTTTCTCAGCTGTGACTAAAATGTGTCACCAACAAATGTAATTACTGCACTACCGGGAGAAATTGAAATCTTGAAATTGAAATCTTGCTCTGTATGTAATCATAACTGGGCCCCTGTCAGCAAAACAAAATCACATCTGCAGTGAGGCGGTATGTGGGTATAAAGGTTTTTAAATTTGGCAATAGAGGGAGAGGGACACAGACCAAGGGGAGGGATAGAGAGAGAGATAGGTGTATGTCAAGGGCAACATGCAGCTTTGATTCAAGGACGTGTGAGACTGCAAGCCAATCCCACTCCTTATGAGGTCCACAGTGAGACCAAAGCCAAGGATTATCAGTAAATCAACATCTGTCAATTACGGTGATGCTCCGTCGATGCTCCGTCAACAAACAGGACATGCACCTAAAAGCAGGGTCAGCCCTGAGCGTAATGACTGGTGTGTGAACGAGTGCAAACAGCTCAGTAACAGTGATGCAAATGAAATAAAGCAACACAAATAATAATCCGATTTGAGCAAACAGCCCACCATTGAATCATCATTCTACGAGTATGACCGAACAGTTTTGACTTTGGATATTTTTGACACTA